GTTTGAATATTAAATTAGGTCTTGTGAGAGAATTCTGTTGATCAAGGGGACGATATTGCACACAGCAACAGTAACACTGACTGCACACACTGAATGCCAGACAACACACAATAAAACACTCCGGTGATGCATGTCAGTGCATGCAAGATCAGTGCATGCAAGACTGCAAAACAACTTTAGAGAAAATATTCTGACACACCTTTGCCTCTTGTATTATTAATAGCAAGTGAGTAATAAGTAAATGTGATTAAAATTCATACACTGATCAAACATAACATTAAAACCACTGACAGGTGAAGTGAATAACATTGATTATCTCATTACAATGGCACCTGTCAAGAGGTGGGATAAATTAGGCAGCAAGAGAATAGTCAGTTCTCGAAGTTGATGTGTTGGAAGCAGGAAAAATGGGCAAGTGTAAGGATCTGAGTGACGCTGACAAATGCCAAATTGTGATGGCTAGATGACTGGGTCAGAGCATCTCCAAAACGGCAGGTCTTGTTGGGTGTTCCTGGTAAGCAGTGGTTAGTACCTACCAAAAGTGGTCCAAGGAAGGACAACTGATGAACCGGTGACAAGGTCATGGGTGCCCAAGGCTTACTGATGCACATGGGGAGTGAAGGCTAGTCTGTCTGGTCTGATCCCACAGAAGAGCTACTGTAGCACAAATTGCTGAAAAAGTTAATCCTGGCTGTGATAGAAAGACGTCAGAACACACAGTGCATCGCAGCTTGCTGCGTATGGTGCTGCGTAGCCACAGACCGGTCAGGGTGCCCATGCTGACATCCATGACTTTCCCGTCCACTGCCAGAAGTGCCTACAATGGGCATGTGAGCATCAGAACTGGACCATGGTGCAATGGAAGAAGGTGGCCTGGTCTGATGAATCACGTTTTCTTTTACATCATGTGGAAGGCCAGGTGCACGTGTGTCACTTACCTGGGGAAGAGATGGCACCAGGATGCACTATGGAAAGCAGGCAAGCTGGCGGAGGCAGTGTGACGCTCTGGACAATGTTCTGCTGGGAAAACGTGGGTCCTGGCATTCATGTAGATGTTACTTTGACACGTACCACCTACCTAAACATTGTTGCAGACCAGGTACACCCCTTCATGGCAACGGTATTCCCTAATGGCAGTGGCCTCATTCAGCAGGATAATGCTCCCTGCCACACTGCAAAAATTGTTCAGGAATAGTTTGAGGATGACAAAGAGTTCAAGGTGTTGACTTGGCCTCCAAATTCCCCAGATCTCAATCCGATTGAGCATCTGTGGGATGTGCTGGACAAACAAGTCCAATCCGTGAAGACCCCTCCTCACAACTTACACGATTTTAAGCATCTGCTGCTAATGTCTTGGTGCCAGATACCACAGCACACCTTCAGAGGTCTTGTGGAGTCCATGCCTCGACAGGTCAGAGCTGTTTTGGTGGCACATACACAATATTAGGCAGGTGGATTTAATGTTTTAATGTTATGGCTGATTGGTGTATTTAAATATGGCAAAAACAGATTCTTCTGAGCAGGGAACCCACATCAAATTAAAAGTTTGAATAAATGTACTTCATTATTATTATTATTATTATTATTATTATTATTATTATTATTATTTATGCTTGAGAATCGATTCTCATGAGTCGGTACATACACTGGGCTTGTCAGGGATCGACACATCTGATGTGATCTGGTCTGATTCACAGAAGGATGGGCAATATTATTTCGAAATCTTACACGACAGCGACATCTACTGGAGGGATGGTGTTCAAACTGTTTCTTACTGAGACAAGACATGTTTGCAGTCAAATTAACCATTTTAATCGATTTTCTTCAAAAAAAATTAAAGGCGATACCATATTCTATTGTAAAATAACCACAAAAAAGTATTTGTGCAAAGGTTTCTTTCCGGAAGAAAGGATTTTTGACAAATAAATATGAGAGAAGCTCTAGACTCTGTTAATCCAAAATGGCGCCCTGTTTGATATATCGTCCACTATAAAGGATGTAAAAGCCATTTATTTCACATATAGCCACATATAGCGAGTAGTCATTTCAGATTCTGCCACTGTTAGATATCTAATGTTGTAAAAGTAGAAAAGTAAATCCGCTTCACTGGTTTCAACAACGCCGTCTTGTGGAGAGTTGTTATGGAAACATCTCAGTCTTTACAAGCGTTACGACCATAAACTGTCTATTTTACGGCCCTGCAGTATAAATAAATGAAACACCGTTATGCTGGTTAACGTCTGTATTGTGTTACACAATTAATTGTCTATAGCAAACAAGGGTAAAATTTTGCCGAAACTATACAAACGAAACTTAAAAGTTGTTAAACGCAGCGCATGCCGGCCGGTTAGCTCAGTTGGTTAGAGCGTGGTGCTAATAACGCCAAGGTCGCGGGTTCGATCCCCGTACGGGCCATCTGTGTTTTTTCCACCCAGGCATGTTTGCATGTAAATGATAATCTCACGACAAGCCAAAGGAATGGATCGTTTGCCGCACAGGATATTAAGAAGGAAGAAAATAAGGCGGTTGGTGTTATTTACTGGTCATCTGAAACTACCTGTGCTGGAAATACAGGTTTTAACTGTGCTACCCCATTGTGCTACCATATCTCTGTCAAGCGAGTTTTCTACTATCTGAGTTAAATCCTCTCAGCTACTTATCTTGACAGTATCTTGCTAGGAAGACCACTGTGTTGCATGCCAGTAATGTCTGAGTCTCTGTAGGCCTCTTTTCCATTTCTTGAGAAATCAACCTTTTCAGTCCAGGGCCTTAAGGTCCTCCTTCACCTATAGGGCCCGTAGGTAGTCAGTTCCACGTTTCCCTCTGTAGTGATGAGCATGTAAATTGACTCAGATGACCCTGGCCATGCATGAAATAAAAAAGGGTAAAAAAAAATAAAATAAAATAATAATAATAAAATTAAAAAAGAAAATTAAATAATTAAAAAAAAAAGGTTTCCAAAGGTTTCCCTGACTGAAAGGCACCACAGCTCCCTAGCATTGTTACAAACACGAGCTGCCCTAGTTGTATTAATGTAACTACCTGAAGCTCCATTAAAATCTGAGCTCTAAGATGTGGCTGTTAACACTCAGTAGAACCACTTTTAGGTGCAATTAAAGCGGCAAGTTTTCTGAGATGTCTCTATCAGCTTTACACATCTGGATCTTGATTTTTTTTTTTCATTCTTTTTAGCAAAATTGCTGAAGTTCTGGATGGGGATGGTTGGCGAACAGCAGTTTTCAAGTCTTGCCCTAGATTCTCAATTGGATTGAGGTATAGGCATTTACTGGGCCATTCTAAAACCTTCAGGTTGGCTTTGCCAGTATGCATCTTCTCCATTTTGCTGTCAACCCTGACCAGCTTCCCAGTCTCTGCTGATGAAATGCATCCTCACAACATGATGCCACCACCACCATGCTTCACTGGGTGGATGGTGTTCTCAGGGTGATGAGCAGTGATGGTTTTCCACCAGATGTAGCACTTTGTGTTAGGGGCAAAAATTACAGTTTTTGTTTCATTTGACCTGAGAAACTTTTTCCAACATGCCTTTTTGCAAACTCCAAATGGGATTGGGGTTTTATTTTATAACCAAACCCTGATTGAGACATTTAAAAAAAAAAAAAAAGTCCCAGAATTTTTTTGGTAGCTTCTTGGTCTCCATGATGCTGTTTTTTTTTTTTCTGTATGTTATCTAACAAACTCTAGAGCCTTCCAGGACCAGGTGGATTTATACTGAGATCATGCAACACTTTAATTGCACACAGGTGGACTCCCTTATCCCTAAATTAATTATGTGAATTCTGAAGGCAGCTTGTTACATCAGAAGTAATTTAGGGGTATCCCAGCAACGGGGGTTTTATGTACGCAATCATAACTTTTACATTTGTACAAAACAGTACACAATGTAACATTCGTACAAAACAGTACACAGTATAAAAAGTTCAATGAGGGTGCGTACTTATGCCAGACACTGTAAAATGCAAATGAGTTGTACCTTTCTAAAAGCTGTAGATGGATTCCAGCTCTAATTGTAAAGCACTGAGCTGTGAAACTCAGATGCTTCTAAAGACTAGTTGAACAAGTTAGGTCACCTGGGCCATAACTCTAAGGAGTGGAACTGGGTATACCTGATCTACTAACAAAGATCTGTGAACTGTGCTAAGGAACTCACTTTGCTAGTTATTAATCATTGTAGACAATAGGATGTGTTGCTTAAGCACTAGTAAGACTCATGTGTCACTGAAACAGACATTTGTAAGTTAAGCACTTTCTCTAAATAAGATCTATTAATATAGAGATGAAGTCATTAATATGTGGTCACCTTTAGACGCATAATTTTGAGTTTCAGTGCATAGGTCAGTAAGTCCTCAGGCATCATACTAGAGAAACCTTCCCTTGAACAAGGTTTTGTTTTTGAGCTAGCAGTAATGTTAGCCAGCTAGTTTGCTGAACCTGAAAGACATTCTCATGACAGTATGTCAGCTCACTCTGCATTTACATGATCTAAATATTACAGCAACTGAGTTTTAAGGCAGCAGATATATTTATTAGCAAGCTCAAAAGTTTGCATCCCTGCTGGCAGTTCAGCACAAGGTGCATTCCTATATTGTGTCCCAGAGTTCCCTGGATGGGCTGTGGATCCAACACCACCAACCTGACCAGGAAAAAGAGGTTACTGTGGATGAATGAATGAACTAGAAAGGGTATAAAAGTAGATATAGCCCATGGATAGGGATAATAATAATCAGAGAGAGTAACAAAAGAAGGTGAGGGGAATATTATACAGGCTAAAATCCCATCTATCCATTTTCCATACACAGGGTTGCAGGGTGACTTGGGGGCACAATGCAAGGGACACCCTGGACCCAGTGCCAATCCATTGCAGGGAACAATCACACACACTACAGACAATTTGGAAATGCCAATGCATGTCTTTGGAGTAGGGGAAAAAACAGAATACCTGGAGGAAACCCCAAAAACCTACATTCTCTGCTCTTACACAGTGGAGATGGGACTTGAACCCTCAATCACAGTAGTGCAAACCTAGCGTGCTAACCACTACACCACAATACTCCCCAAACTACTGCTTATGAAAACAATCATTTTTATTGTTTTACAAATGTCTTAACTTGTGAACTGTAACACCCAACTTGTTTTGGTTGGTTTTCATTATTCCATAAATAAACTTTCTCTCAATCAGCTTAGGAACAAGGTGTTTTTTTGGGGGGCAAAAACTACAATACCCATAATCCCCAGCAGCTCGCTCAGTGAACAGGGTGCGGCTCTGGCGATAGAAAAGCTGTTTTAAGGGCTATTCCTCTTCTCCTGTCTTCACTCTCCCTCGTTCTCCTGCAGCGCGTGCGGAAAAGCCTTTTTTCGGTAAGTACATTTAACTGAAATCTACTTTCAGTGACGCTTGCTTGAACTATCGCGATAAGTCGTGCAGGTGAGCCTTTACCTGTTGTTAGGGTCATTTTGTACGTGACTGTCAGGTGATATGTGTTGTTTTGCATGATCATTTAATTCATTATGCACTTTTGTTTCCTTCTTAGAGCTGACTTGAAGAGTTTGTCAAGCAGAAATAAAAAAAAAATGGTGAGTCCCACTGCAAAAAGTTTTTTTTTTTGCTTTTAATGATTAAATTAGTTGCTTCTGAACTACCTTGCATGCTGTACTCACTGTAACTGCACTGTAACTTCACATTATGCATTATTTTAAACACTTGTTGCATACTGACAAAAGTTTTGCAAATGTGCTGATGTGTTCAAATTCATAGACAGTGTAGGCAAATGATTGCACTTGAGTTCATCACTGAGATTCTTCACACCACTACAATAACATGATTTGTGCAAAACCTGGCTCTTGCCAAATGCAGTACAAACATCCCACATTGCTGGTTTGACAGTTAAGAAAGGGCGATGCCTGTACATTCCAGTTCAGCATACACTCATTGTACACTCCCATGAGTGAAAAAAAAAATCCTACAACTCTGTTTTTCTCACGTCTTTCATTATTTACATTTTTTGTCTAAAAAAATATTGAATTCTTTTATTTCATTACAAACAAATCGGCAAACTTCTGTCTGCCAGCTAACAGTATCTCAGGTTCATGCATGTAATTTGATCCACCTATTTACCAAAGCAGTAATTGTGTCTTTAGACATGTTATTAAGCATAATTCGAGGTTAAATCTCTAAATCTGGTTGTCAAAATAATAATTTAAGCTTTTAAAGGTTTGTTTTGATCACTTCTGCCTCACTCTTGGCTGTTGTGGGTGATCCCAGACAGATATCCTAAAGATTTTCCCCCAAACAGTGTCATCCTTGATTCAGTGGATAATCTCACCAGGATACTGTAGATTTATACCTAAGAACTGCTGCTGTAATCATAAAGACTGTCCTGTGCTCAGCCCAGACCTCTGATTGACAATCTGTTCATACTGAACACACGTAGTAACGCCTACTTTTTGACTTTATAGTGTAAATTTGTAGAAGAGTAATCATTTATAATCCCAGAAGTGGATAAGTTCCCTTTCGAGGCTGGTTCCTCTCAAAGTTTCCTCCTCATGTCGCCTCAGGGAGTTCTTCCTCATCACTGGCTTGCTCATTAGGCATCTAAATATAAATATATTTTATTATATTTATATTTTATTATATGTAAATCTACATCCAGATTTCTCTAAAACTCTTTTGTGACAATTTTAACCATTGTTAAACATGTCATGCGAATAAAATAATTATTTTTTATTAAATAACTTTGAAAAAAAAAAAAAGTTGACCAGACACATGACTCAAGATTTAGGAGGTTTACTTTAGCGGGAAAAACCTAGTCATCTAAAGTATCCAGAGGGTGGAAAAGAGGTTTCTCTTGTAGTTAAATATGAGCCGAGATGTAGAGAAAAGTTTTCCAATCCTTTCTTTTCTTCTTGAATACGCTGATGACTCATATGTGTGTGCTTCTCGAAGGGCGGGTTTTTCCTCTCCCTCTCTCTCTCTCTCTCTCTCTCTCTCTCTCTCTCTCTCTCGCTTGCTCGCTCTTACAAATGTCACTTCCATCAGCTGTGGTTTCATGGGTGGAATTGTGTTTGAATAGATGCATGCGTAAACCTTGATAAACATTAATAATCCCTTTCAAACAACCATGGTTCCTGGACTGTAAACATAATGCTTGCTTTCTCACAGGCAAGAATAGTTTGATATGAGAACAGCATTGAAAGAAGCGAGCTCACTTGGAATTGTTTGTTTGCTTGTGTGAGACTGTTTTTGTCTGATGCATTCATTGGATGTTGGTCATTAAAACCGTTGCGAGAGATAAAGTGAGATTTGTACATTTTTCTTCCATTTTTCTTGCAGCACTGTATGGTGTATTGAGTTATTAAAGCCAGATTAGAGATAGTTCTGATATCACCATGGTACTTATGTGTACTATTTTCTAAAACCGTGTACTAGTGTGCATGTTCAAGTGAGCATGCCATGTTAAAAAAAAAAAAAAAAGTAAGTTACTTCTGACAGATTTGTTCATGCATAACAAATAATGCAGTGCAAAGCCTGTTTATTGCAATAATAAAGCCAGCAGCATTAGAGCCACTACTATAATGTGTAATTTTAGTGCTGAAATCTGTCCTCAGTTCTAAAAAGATTCAATCTCTGCTCTGTTAGCCTGAATCAGCAGCACATGATCCCACATCTTTCTACCCATCATGCCTTGATAAGACAGGAGCGCTGTTGTTTAGATTGGGATTTGTGTACGCAAGCACAACAGGAACTGAAGATCTGACTCATTTCAATATATTATGAGGGCAAGTACTTCCATTTAAAGATACATACAGTCCAAACACAATCTTTAATCCTGCAACACAACAACATGACATTAAAATTCTTAATTTACATGATGTTTTTACATGGTGCTTATTTTTAATACGAACCTGTTCCAGGAAGGTCTGATTAATGATGTTTTAAGGTTTGCATTTTGAAATGAATAATAGTAATAATGAATCGTCCCGTACTAAACGTATTCCACCTAAAATCCTACCCAGGCCCAGCTTTTAACCAGAAACCACACAGTGGTATACTTTCATAATAATGTATTATTACTGTGTTTAGTCAGACGTTCCTGCCACACCGTATTTAACCACACTGCAAAGCTAATATTTAAGTAAATTTAAGTTTTAGGAAAAACTGTAAAGATTAATTTCATTATTTTTCCAGGTCTGTCAAAGTTTATATCCTTGTATAGTGTTTGATCAGTATTTCTTATTTAACTTGAAAGGTGTGGCAATAGAGCAGATTGCAGAATATCAGATTACTGTATTAGCTTCATAGTTGCTTTGTAGTACTCGATACTCTGGTCAGTGTAACTCTAACGCTGCAGTGAAGACTGATATCAACATGAGCTGAACTTGAGTCGTTCTGCAGTAATAGATGTATCAGAGACGTGACTTGAGGTTGGAGGCTTTGCTTTATTTCAAAGGTGGCAGCTGCCACCCCGTGCCACCCCGTGCCACCCCGTGCCACCCCGTGCCACCCATGTGACCACGCCTTTGCTCTGTAGCACCTATATCACTGTCGACTCCTTTAACAGCTATGTGTGTGTGCATATTGGTGAGCACCAAATGTCTCCACAAGGAGAAGAATACCTGACAGTTCTGACTAATGAGGGACATTTGCTATAGGGACAAGTTAAACTGCTTTTCTTTTTTTCTTTTTTAACAAAAACTGCTGCTTTTATTTAAAACACTACAAGCGCCAAAACATTTCCTTTTGCTTACTGAGGTTAAGATGTACGCACAGCATTATGTAACTGCATTAATAATTGTGTCAGGTCTTTACAAGGATAGCAAGATGTGTGCACGTGTGTGCACATTTGCGTGTGTGTGTGTGTGTGTGTGTTGTGGAAAAGGTATCATGACAACTTGGTTGTCACCACAGTGACATGTGTGGGCATGTACATAATTATGTACAGGTTAAGTATACTACTTATGTGGTTATTTAAGAAACACTTTTAGTCTCACACAAACACACACGAAAGAGAATTGATCAATAGTGAGGAACATTAAATGCAGTAAACCTGCATAATATGGATAAAATACTAGCCATTAGAGAATCAGCAATATTACACTGCTAGTTATTAAAATAAATCCTCATGTGACATGGTAGAGATGATTGTGACCAGTATATGCTCACTGATTACTCAGAAGAACATCTGAGATCAGTATTACAAAAGCCAGGATTGCGGTAACATTAAAATAACATTATTGCACAGTCCTAGAGCTAGGAGACAGTTGATGGATTTTTGTGGCAGTGCTGATTTGATCCACTTTCCCATATGCTTATAATAGTTGTTGCCATATGAAACTCCAACATCAGGGCATGCTGGGATTATAAATTCGAACTTAACAAAGAAAACTAAGCTCTACCTCTTACATCCCTGTATATCCTGTTATTCTGATTATAATGCCAAGTAGGAAGTCCCAGACCAACATAACAACATCTGAGGGGAAGGAAAGGTAAAAATTTTGTGTAAAAAATTAAGTTATGCATTCACTGGTCTGCTCTTGTTGCATTAAATGCCACTCTTTTTTAACCAAAGTGAATTATTAGGAATGGGATTGCACCATTTAAAAAGATGGCGCAACATCGAGTTCCTTTCCTCCTTTCTTCATTCTGCCAAGAGGCTTGTGACAGTTGTGGGTTGTAGGTTTCCACACATGACTCATGTTATGACTCATATTAAGGGTGGGATTGTAGACCAATATGATGGCATATGATCAAATTATTAATGTTATCATGTACCGCTATAGATAATGGCAGGTATACTGGTGTGGTGCATTTTAAAAAAGCTACAATTTTTTGGGTAGCTTACTTTTTAAATGCCAAGTTTCTGCAGTTTTGAAAATCTACTGAAGAAGAAAAGTAACAAGTATGTTATAAAACAGATTCTAACAATTTCCCAATCCCAATATTTCAACATTTAGTATTATATATCAGTAAATTCTATGATGTACTGAAAACCACATTACTGTGTTGTATGTGTATCATACACAAAATGCATACACTTAGCTAACCCAATATTAAT